GTTTACCGGCAATTAATTCACCGATCAGTTCATTTCACCGACAATTTATTTTACCGACAGTCATTTCACAGACAAAGTAATTCTGGTCGGTTAGAATTAGAGTTAAGGTTAGTGTAATTTATAAAAGAAAAAAACTTGTCGGTGATATAGGTGAAATAAATTGTCGGTGAATTAATTGTCGGTGAAATGAACTTGTCGATGAATCAATTAAGCTGATTTAGGGAATTTGACCTTTATTTAAGCCATCTATACATATTATTTGGGGTGTTTTAAATACAAGTTCCGATTATTACGTATCGGACTTTATATAACTATGAACTGAAATTTGTAAATAAGGATTCAAAATTTAAAAATAAGGATAAAAGTCCAATTCCAAAATCCGCAGAATTGTTAATTGTTGGTGAACTAAGCTGTCGGTGAAATGACACGGATCCATTGACTATGTTTCTATATATGCCAGGGTCCATTTATGGAGAATTTACATGGTGCATAGAGGGTGCAATTATAAAGGTCTGACAGTCAATAAAATAATGTTTATGTAGCTTTGAAAGTTTCATTAAATTAAAATTTTATAATAAATGTTGATATTTATGGCTTTGAAGGAATATCAACTATACAGATAAAGATACAGTACGTACCATATTTTAAATATTTAGACTAATAAATTGTAAAAATGAGAATCAGGAATGTCCAATCTCTAGTATTTAACCTCGTAATATCTGTAGATTATCCGGTTTACCCAGGTGTTCGTATGGTTATCTAGTCTATCCGGTTATCTGTAAATTAAAACTAACAGATATCAGGATATAGCTTTTATAAAAAGGAAATAGCTATACGGACAAACGGGTATCCGGGTCCAAGCTCTAATAAGAATCACTTTTCAATAAATCGATATTATTGAACATCTCGATCACCGTTTGAGAACAGCCTCAATTATTTCATGTCAACTCCGGCTCCAGTAGACACTATCGCTACTTTCGTACGTGGCTTTGTCAACATACAATTATTAAATGAATGTAACACAAAGCATTATATTGTGGAGGCTCAGTGATTTAAATACATAGATTATAAATTTTAAAGTAGGATGATTGCAAAAATATTTCATGTTAACTTGTTCAAAACTTGGTATTTTTCAAAGTCAATTGCGAAAATAAAAATTTTTAGCAAGTGATATAGCGATAGAAATTTTACTTATTATAATTTATTTCCAGTTTATTAGAATTACATATTTGTAAATAATTTAAGCTTCATAAGTACGTACGTACGTACGTCGGTGGTTGGTTCGTCTGCACCACAACATTACAGTAAATGGGTATTGTATTCAAGCATTACATAATTTCACAATTCAACGCGAATAGATGATTGGGTTTAGCAGATCACATAGAACATCCAATCAAATCTCTGTAATACAAATGGTTTTAGAGTTAGTGTTTGATAGATTTATATAGTAAAATTTCACAAGGAACATGTTTTAATTAGTGCGCAGAAGCCGGTTTTATTGTTAAAATTTCTGGTTACCGTTACGGACGATCTTTTAAAAAATGGCTTTATTTACGTTACACCTGATCTCAGAATTTGATTGGATGCATTCATGTGACCTGCTGAACCCCTTTCAACGGCGCACAGCTTTTACAGTCTGCCGTAATTAATTGCTACACATGCCGTAAGCACGTACATGCGTACGTACGTACGTAATTTAATAATTCTATCTCCAACTATACATAGGACTAGGCATTTTAATTGACCAATAACAAAGAATATTAGGAAAGTTTCGATGTATGTACTGTACCTATATAAAGAATTTTGATCCATAAAAAACGTTGTTAATAGCAAATTGTGTAAAGATTTCTTTATAAGAAGTTGGTATAATAATTTAACTAATGTTGTAATAAAAAACAATAATTCAATTAATAAAATATTATTAGAATCCAAGGTTATCATAATTTGTATGCTTTTTTTTTATCAATTGTTATTTGATACTTGATAACTTCCGGGTAAACATCTATCCGGATCGAAGTGTTGGGCTATAAAATTAGAAAGTCAAGCGCCTAACAACGGTCGGTAATACAAAATCCATTTGATATAAGTGTCGAATGAGAGTTAACAAGCATAAGTACGTACGTACCTTACGTACCTCACGACTGCAGCACAATCACGCCTACTAGCATTAAAATCAATCGGATTTCTTTTGCAAGTGCCAAAGTTATTCAGTATTTCATGGTTGCTTATTTTATTGTTAATAAAAAACACTACGGGTAATTCTAGGAAAACATATAAATCTTTTTTAGTAAACAGAGCAAATGTACGATATATATTTTAAAAGTTTATATCGACCTTTCAGACAACGTACAGACACTAATAAATAAGTTTCAAGTCATTGAGGCATTTGCGAATTTTATAATTGATTTTCTTTTTTACATCATAAAAATCAAATGTGCATGTATGCACATCAAATTTTTTTTTTGATGTGCACAAACTTTCAAGATTTATGTGCAAATTAATACATCTTTGTAATCATTTACAGAATTTACGCTTACTCTTAAAAACTGCAAAAGTACGTAAAAAATTTTTTTCTTAAATGATTAAATATTGACGTAATCATTTAAATCATTTAAATCATTAAAAACCTGTTAGCTTATTATGTGCAAATCATGATTTAACCTTAATATACTCTTATCACATTACTGTCATTCCAAATTTTCGTTAAGTTTATATTAAATTACGTATTCTTTTAACTTTAGAGAAGCTTTTCGACACATAATCAGCTTGACTTTACTTATTTTTTTGATAAATAAATATAAATAACTACGACTCGTAAAATAAGAAGAAAAACAAGGTTCTAATAACTATAAAACAAAGTTTTAATAACTATATTTGTAATGATAATTGATTTTTTCATCTTAATTTGATAGGATTAATTTTTGTAAAAAAAATGACTCAAGGAAAGTTTTGGGCCGTATTATGTATATTAGATGAGAGAATCATCGATGGTAATTCTTATTACTTAATTCAATGGAAAGGAAATGATAAGAATGGGAATCCTTGGACCCCAACTTGGGTATTATCATAATTTAAATTACGTACTATGCTTTTAAAAATTATGCATGTATATATTAATCTATATATTGGGGATTTCATATATAAAAGGAACCTGGTGAAAATTGCACTCAAAGTTTAATTAACGACTGGAAAATGAGAAAGCTTGAAACAAAACAAGATTATCGATGTCATCGTGAGAACTCTGTTATATCTGATTCTACTGTAACCGATGGTTCTGATCAACGTTGTTCTGATGTTTTGACATTATGGGACGAAATATCAATTAAAGGCAGTAACAATCCTAGTGAATCTTCAATTGTCGATCAAGATATATATGATAACTCTATAATCCATGATTCGCAACAGCCGTTAAAAAGATCTCAAACTGAATGCCAATCGGAAAATTCTGTCGGCGAGGAGGAAATAATTCATCATGCTAATAAGAAAAATCGAACACAAGAGTCATTTATTAGTAAAGAATTCACATCTGATAAGGATAATAATTGTTCTTACCAAGAATCTTTTGCTCAACAAACTGGCTCTTTCGAAATAGAATCTTGCATTTCACAGACTCCATTAAGTCCTCAATGTATACCAACTCAATCTTCGGTATCAACAGAACAAACTGACAATGATTTAAATAATAAAAAAATGCTTCCAAATCTGCCTTCTCATTGTCAACCGCAAATATCTCATGAATCTTTGCAGACTTTTTCATCTTTGGCAAGCAATGGTGCTGAATGCACTTCTGCATCATCTGATTTAAATTCAGATCTATTACTCAAAGTAAATATTAATAATGTTAATTGTAATAAACTTTTTTTTTATTAACTTATATATTTTATTAGGATCCCGTGCTTTTGACGAAGGAGCTCCAAAATAAAGACGATACTATTGCAATTATGGACGAAGAACGTGACCGATTACAACAAACAATGTCTCAAATCAAAAGGAACTGGCAATTACAACAAGAAAAAGCAATTAGTTTGTCCAAAGAGAATGAACAAATCAAACAACAACTTCAGCAGAAAACTAAAGATTATGAAAACATTCGTTTTCAATACTTGTTTTATCAGCAAACTATTCAACAATTGCAAGAACTTTGTAAATGTCATAGTGAAAAGGACATTCAACATAGTTTAGAGTTAGAAGAATCAAAGCGGAAATATGAAATTATTCGTCAAAATGATATTAAAGTAATTGAAGAATTAGAAAGATCGACTAAAATTGTGATCGCGGAAAATCAAAAACTGAAGCAGGAACTTGAAAATATTAAATCCTTTAACGCAAGTATGGAGAATATGAATAAGTCATCCCAAAATTTAATGGTCTTGGGCAAGCAAGACTTATTAATTGAAGATTCAAGTTTGTCCAATAACGAGAAGACGGGTTTATCATCTAATAAGTTAAAACAACCATCCATAGTAAAACTGGGCTTGGATTATGAAACTTTGTTATCGGAAAATAAACGTCTGGAGTCAGATATAAAAACTTTAAATCTCCAAAATATGCTTCAACAGCAGGATCTGAAATTAATGGAAGAAAAGTTGTTGCAAAATGATTCAACATTACGGTTTTTTATGGATCTTCAGCAAGTTAATAAAGTTGGTAAGTAATAATAAGTGATATGCAAACAATTAATCAATTAACTCTAGTTATCCATATAATTATTAACATTCTGTTTTGTTAGCATGAACTTTTGTATTCTGAGTACAAAGTATTTTTGCTGTTAGTTAATAAGGGTTTGATTTTTGTCTAAGATGATTTATTACTATATTCAATTCTTTTCATTGAAATTTATACTAACTTCATGTTTTCTAAAAAATTTTAATCAGAATAAAATATGTTTAGGAACCATTATAATCACATTAATATTGCAAATTTTTTATATTTTAAAATTTTGCTATTTTATCAATATTTTATCATCAATAAATAGAAACAATAAACAATATTTGATAGAAATAAATAACATTTTTGATAGAATATTTTTTGATAGATCAATAAAAAAATTTTGATAGACAACAGGTTTTTTTGTATACTTAAAATTTATTTGTAATGTAAATAGACACGTCCAAATGACTGCTCTAATTTTATTCTTTTAAAATATGGAAAGTTTTTATATTGTAAATAATTTGTTTAAAACATTGCAATTATTTCAGTTTGTAAATTTTGTTGCGGTTGATATTCAGACTGGTTGATGCTGAGATTTGGAGTCTCAAGTTGAGTGTCTCAAGTTTACTAAATCTACTAAAACCTTCATATGTTCTTTTTATTAACCCAATCATGAATTCTAACCTAACTATAAAATTTTATACCAAAGTAAAATCAATTCTCAGCATCAGCCGATCTCTGCTTCAGCGGTGACAACTTTTATTAGTGATTATGACTTAATACGTACGGGAATCATTTAAAGCCGGATTCATAAGAAAACGTGCATACTATTAAGCAAGCATTATTCAATAACAGAATAGTTTATCTATTAAAAATAAGAGTACCGCTTTGACTATTTATAGCATTTATGATTATAATGAATAATTATACGGGCCCACCACTATAAAAAGTAGTACTAATCCGACCTATTAAATATACTATTTGTACTTTCTATTATTGTTACTTGTATTTTTTATATAAAATATTATATATTTTATATTGTTATATAAATTTAGTATAGTAGTTTTAGTTATAAATAATTTTATATATAAATTTTATTTAATACTACAAATTAATTTATATAACAATTAGTTAAAAATTTTATAGAGTAAAAGTATAAATAGCATTAATAGAAATACAAATAGCAATTTTTTTAAAAAAGTAATAAGTAATTAAATTAGAATTATAAGATATTAAAAAATATACATATTAAAATATAATCTAAAAACAACTATAATATAGAGAACTCTTTCCAATAATCACTTGTACTAATTATTACTGAAAGCAAGTTGAAAGCTCAAGATCAAAAATTAACAACTTGAAGTTTTTTTAATATGAACTGTTGTTAATAAAGTTTTTAAATATAATATACTAAAAAGCAAACATTTTGAACAGTTTGTAAAAAAGTTAAGTCTAGTTTGTCTTTATTTGTAAATAAATTTCTTTGCATTTAATATTCCAACTGGAGAAGTTTTTGAAAACAGCAAGTAGAAAAAAAATTTAAAAAAGTTTGAAAACAGAAGAATATAATAAATTTTTAAAAAAACTTTCTTTACTTAGAAATTTATAAGACCACAACTTTTCTTGCCACTTTAATATTTCTAAAATTTATTTTTAATAAAAAGTGGAGATTTGACTACTCTGTTAAAAAATTAGCATTGTTTACTACTTTTATATTCAGTGAATCTGTGATATGATTATAACAAACATGTGGCAACATGAAAGTTATTTTTAATTTGAGAATAGTGTTCTATATAATTAAGGATTTGAACAATATATTTATACCTCTAATAGATAAATAAAGATAGCAAAAACATGTGAAGTTTATAATTTGTTATATTTTAAAATAGAATATAGATTTATGTTAGAGCAATAAAGAGAATTTAAAATATACAGTTTAATAATGAAGTCATATGTATATAATTTTTATGTTTTATACAGGTCAAAATATATTTAGTTTGGTTTTTCTTATATGTTATTTGAGTTTTATATAAAACTATAATCATATAGATAAGTATTCTAATTAGAAAGTACTAATTTGTTAGATAAGTTTTTTAGTTTTATATTTGTACTTTAGATTTCTTTTATTAGTTTAGTTATTTTCTTTTTGTTTTATTTTAAAATATTTCTTTCTTGTATTTCTCTTTACACTATTTTCTCTTTGAAATTTTGCTAGCAAATGTTATTTTAAATTGTAATATATTATATAAAGCAGTAATCTTGACAAGTTGGTAAATACCTACTATAGAGAGGGTAGAGAATAAAAGGTCTAGTTAATTTTAAAAATTTTGAAGACTATAAAAACAGTATTCTACAATTAGTATTTAAGTCAAGATTAATATATATAATTAATATATTTAATATACTTTTAGCAAATAAATATCTTATATATGCTGGCTACTAGTAACAAGTTATTAAAATTAACTGAGTCAGGCCTAGCCCAATTAGATCTGATCTGGTCAACTTTGAAGACTTATTATTGCTAGCTAGTATATATGAGATACAATTAATATTTATTTGCTGAAAAAATATGCTAATTATATATACTAATTTTGGCTTAAGACTAATTGTGAAATACTGTTTTTATTTTTTATTTTTGGTTTTAAGGTAAGGTCTTGCTCATATTTTTATTAGTAATAATTTTTAAATAGTAACAATGTAGATTACTACAATGCAATCACCAAGGCTTCTACTTGTAGTCATGGCTAACAATTAAACCTCTAAATATAAAAATTTACAGAGCTACTACTATTTGTACCAGTACAAATAAAAATAAAAATTATATGCAAGAATAAAAACTCAGACAGAAAAAAATTTATCTGTGATCTAAACCTACTAGAGTGGTCAAAGACTCACTTAGATTACTATAGTTAAAATATAATTTAAAAATATACTATGGGGACTAATATTTATCAGCTGAATATACCCCACCCCAGAATATATTAATTAACTATTCTGAGGTTTCAAAGTTAATTATTTAAAAATTTTAAATTTTAATATAATCTAAAATATAAATTTATAAATATTGTATTTTTATATAC